GTGCTTGCGTTTGTCGTAGACCTGCAGTTTGCAAAAGGGACATGGGTGTCCTTTGATCATCTGCACTGTGTAGGCCTGGCAAAGCTGGAGTGCCGCCGGACCGTCCCGCTGCCAGACCTGTGCATGAGCCTGTCGTTGATGATTTTTCATCTTGGTATGGTCTGGGGTCCAGAATCCGCACAAGATGCACCTGTGCTTGAGTTCTTGAGCTTCCGGCCGGGAGGCTATGCTGCTGAGCTTGTCTTTTGGCGAACTCTGCACCGTAGCCCGAAGGGCTGCTAGGCCTCTGAGAGCTTGGCCTTGCAGCTGTTCCTCAGTGGTGAGAGATAGCTGGCGCAGGCGTTCCGGCTGCGTACAGGCTCCCGACAACAAATGGTCGCGCAGGCCCTTCCATTGATGGAAGGCCTTGTCGCATGCGGAACATACTGGTAGACCGTCCTTGGAGTGCCGACTACGATCAAAGGAGGGAGGAATGTACCTCTTTACGTGATCACGATGCATCCTTGTGATGTGCATATGTAGACCATGCGCAGAGACAAAGCCAGACGCACAGTGAGGACAGTCGTGCAACCGCTGCTGCGAGGCCTCGGTGCTCGCCGGAAGATTGTCCACCTCTCGTAGCATGTCCTGTAAGTCCTGTAGGACATGTCCCAGACACGTGACATCACCGTACACTGCCATATCGGTAGGGTTCAAGCCTGTGGCCGAGGCCGGCGCGGCAGGGCGCAGTCTGGCCCACGGGCCCAGCCGCACCGTAGGTGCACTGGAAGTAGTCATCAGCTGGACGGAAGTGTCAGCCTCGGGGGTAGGGATGTCGGGTCGTTTGCGCAGTCTTTTTAGTCGCGAAGCCATCCGAGCTCGGATTTTTGCCACCGGGTCCTGAATCGAATGCAGCTGATACAGGTCAGCTGTGGAGATGCGGCTGACGTGGACAGGCTGGTTAAGCACGGAGCGTAGCTTGTGAGCATACCAACCTCGGAGATGCCTGGCTGTCTCCTCCGTGAGGCCGACTTCAGGAAGTCCTGTGACCAGAGTGGCCCATACGGTGGTGAACCAAACCTTCAACCTGGCCATTGGCCCTGCAGTTCTGCGGTTGTAAACAAATCGCTTGACCTGCTGGAGCTTTTTGGCAGCCTCCGCTATACGGAAGCGCAGCGTTTGCATTTCAAAATTCCCATAGGAGATTTGAATGCCCAGGTACTTGATTTGTGTTTCAAGTTTGTAGGCGGGGAAGGACTTGTGTTTGCCCAGTCGCCAGTGACGCTGGAGTTTTCCGTCCTGATCAGGAAGCCAACAGGTGTGCTTCTGGAGCGTGGCCTCGGCCTCTCTGCCACTGAGCTTGACTAGAATGGCACATTTGGTCGGATTGACGCGCAGGCCTAGTTTCTCTACCTCCGACAGAAGCTGTAGGATCATTTTGTGAGCTGCGTCCACGTCCGCTTTGTTGCAGATTGTGCGATGCATGGTAAAGTCATCGGCGTACCCAGTGAAGTATCTGCGGACATTGTCCCAGCCAAATGTGCTTATCAGCCTGTGCAGGAGACGGCCTGTTAGAACGGAAAACAACGTAGGGGCCAACTTGCAGCCTTGTTTGATGCCTGTGGTGGTTTCCACATCCTGGTGGGCCCCTTGAGAATGGAGCCTGTACTTGGATCGATGATGCAGGCCGTGAATCAGTTTTTGTAGGGATGGATCTGCGCCTAGTTCATCAAGCAGAGATAAGATTTCGCTGCGGGATACAGTATCGAATGCCTGTGACAGGTCTAGTGCAAAGGTGATGCCTCCGACGAGACCAACAGGACATTGTCCCCGCTGCTGATCCGCTCTGGTGAGGTTCGCATTGCGACACAGCTGCCTAGCCTCCCTCAGGTGCTGTACCACTCTACTCTGAGCGTCAGAGAGACCCCGCCCCGGGAGGTATGCAAACTGAGGAAGAGGCTTCATGTACGGCAGCGTGAGAGGTTCCAGGAGCTCCTTAGCCGTTCCCGCCAGGCCTTTAGCATCCGGCCGGAGGATGCCCAGCGGCCTTAGCTGGGAAGGCTTTTCAGCCGGCTTGCCCGGTTTGGGGATCAAGCAGAGATCCGCGCGTGTCAGATCATCGTCTAGTGGCTGCTCCTGCGTCAGAGCAGAACAGTAATGTGAGAGCGCCTCGGATACCGGCTGTGCGCAGAGCTTCCAGGCTGCGGCCGGTGCTGCTCCTTTCGGAACTGCCTTACCAGGTTTAATCGAAGCAATATGTTTCGCCAACTTGGTCTGCGGCAGTAGGGGCAGAAGCCCCGCGTCAGAAGGAAGCGATGGGTGCGCTGCAAAGACCTGGGTGGCGTACTTGCCCAACTCCGCAAGTTCATTTGCTGGGCTGAGCAGGAAACCGTTCGAATCCTTGAGCTGAGCCTTCAGAGCTGGTTTCCACGGTCGAAGATGCTTGAGAGTTTGGTATGCTAGGTGTTGGTCTCCCTGATTGAGAGCCTGGTCCACCTCAGCGAGGAACCGCTTGGTTTGGTCTTTGCGAGACTGCTTAACCGCCAGTTTGTGCTGGTCATATAGCAGTTGGCGGGCAGCTGCGTCTGTAGCTGATTCAGCACTGGTGTGAGCATTGCTCCCTCGCGCAGAGCGCCACATTCTTCTAGCAATGCACGTCTCCGGACTTTCTGGCATTGCCACCGGGGTCTTAGGGAAAAACCTGGAGGTGGCTTCGCCAAGAAGGCGATCCCATGACGCCGGCTGCATGTCCGGAGTAAGACGGGTTGTGACCCACTCAAGCATTTGCTGAGCCGGCAGCGTGTTGTCCCTCACAGCCGCTTGCAGGGCAGCAGCGTCAAACTGATGTGTCTGTATCTGAGGAGGCGGCAGATTCCAGTGACGTACTGGCTTGACAGTCGCACTGATGGGCAGGTGCCCACTTTTCTTCCAGCTGCCCAGCGGAAAAGCCGCCAGTGGCGTGGAGGCCTTGGCAGTGCCTCCAGCTGACACCTCTCGCGTAAGCACAAAGTCAATTTGTGTGCGCGAATCCCCCTGTTGGTACGTAAATAATGGCTGGGGTCGCCACGTGTTGAGGGCCACCAAGCGATGACTCAACAGAAAGTTTGTGAGCTCTGGTTCATCAGGTCGCGGTTCCTGTGGGCTTATGAGCTCTGGACCTACCAGCCTAGGCTGCTTTTGCAAGGAGCTATTGAAATCACCTGCTATGAGAAGCGTGTCTCGGTGTGGCACCCGTTGCACACATCTGCCAAGAGCTTTGAGGACCTGTGCCCTGTCCTGACGATTGTTCTGAACCTGTTTGGCCGGTGACCAAACATGTTGGTACACAGCAATCAGATGGATGCGGGCCCCGTGCCAGTCAAACCTGACTTCCAGGGCTCTGCCTATGACATGCTCCTGCCAGCGCACACCTTTAGGTAGTATGTGTGGGGACAGGAAGACCATAACCCCGTCCGCGCGGGTTGTCGAGGGTTCCTTGCGGGGCGGATTGGTCTTGTCGTCATTAGGCATTGCCTCTGCAGGTGGCTGTATGTGGGCCTTGCCCCTGCGTTGTTTGCGTCTAGAGGCTTTCGGATCTGCAGCAGAGGCAGACGAGATGCAGTACCAGCCTGCAACACTAAATTCGGCCGTAGCCTGCCAGTGGGTCTCCTGCAGCACAAGAACATCACAGGTGTGACGTGCCTCAGTGGAAAGCCATGATTTGACTTCCGACCATTGCTGCTGGCCGAGGTGGCCTGCATTCCAAGACAGTACACGGAGGGGCCTGGTGGCCTGTCCTGCTCTAGACCGTGGTGCAAAAGACGGAGTGGAACCTGGCCGCGGTGGGCAGTTGCCCATGCGCCTTAGGAGAGCAGGGGTCATAACCTGACCTCGGTAGGAAACGGGTTGCTGGCTTGCAACCACCTTTCTGCAAACATGCTTGAACGAATTCTTCCTGATCTGAGAATAATTTTGTGAGTGCACTGGGAGCAGCGCCATCCGCTATTTCGTCACAAGGCAAGCCGAGTGACTCCCTCCACCACGCGGCTAGTGGAAACCCTACCGCCTGCCCAGTGGGCCCGTGCTGAGACAGGGTACTGGGTCCAGGAATTGGGACCTGGCGGCTCAGACGCAAACGGTTGGCACATGGCACATGGCTCAGCGTAAGGAACCAACCCGTAGTCGTTCGGAAAGAGGCCTGTTTGAGACCTCTAGCAACGCAAGGTTGGAATCCAGAGCCTGTTCGATAGCCAGCGCGAAACTTCCAAAACGTCTGAGCCGTGGCGGCTACTACTACTACTACTACTACTACAACTACTACTACTACTACTACTACTTCTACTTCTACTACTTCTGCTACTACTACTACTACTACTACGACTGCTACGACTACTGCTGCTACTACTACTACTACTACGACTGCTACGACTACTGCTGCTGCTACTACTACTACTACTACGACGACTGCTACGAATACTGCTGCGACTATTACTACGACTGCTACGACTCCTGCTGCTACTACTACTACTGCTACTACTGCTACTCCTTCTGCTACTACTGCTACTACTGCTACTACTGCTTCCACTTTCACTACTACTCCTGAGTCTGCTACGGCTCCTGCTACGTCTGCGACGACGACCGACGACGAAACCGATTACGACTACGACTGCCACTGCCACTGCCACTGCCTGCCACCACCACCACCGCTACCACTACCACTACGGCGACGACTGATACTACTACGTTTACGACGACGACGACTACCACAACTACTCCTGCTGCTACTACTACTACTGCTGCTGCTGCTCCTACTACTGCTACTAAAACCACTACCACTACCACTACTCCTACTGCTGCTACTGCTACTACTACTACTACAACTACTACTACTACTACTACTACTACTACTACTACTACTACTACCACTCGGCTAGGGCTACGGCTACGGCGAGTACGATAGGGCGTCTACTGCCACACCATCGCTACTGACAGTTCTTGTACGGGTGCCACTTCCTCCTCGAAACTCTGTTCAGCACGCACAGGCGCACCCTCCATTCACCGGACGCCTGGGTCCAGTTCCTGGGGCGCCGCAGAGCCTCATCGGGCCAAAGTTTTCTTATGAAGCCAAGGTGCCGAGTGGTTTGGGTTGGATCTTGCATTTTTCATAAGATGTGATGATGGCACATCTTTGGCTACGTCTGCCGGATGTCTCGGCCGGGCCTCGAAGTTCACCTTGTGGTCTTTCCGTCAGTTCGTTTCAGTCCGAGCAATTACGTATTTCCTTCATCGCTTATTACCACGACGTTTGCCTCACCGAGGCTGTCAGTGTTTTCGCCCGGTGGGTTGGTTATTCACTGGAGGTTCTTAGCACTTAGAACCGCTGAGGAGCGACTGCGGGACGAAGCTTTTCAATCCCACGCCAGCGCAACCAAGCGGCGAAGCAGTTGTGGAAGGCTGGAAAACAGCAGGTGGCGAGTGTGCACTAATGTCTGAGGTCATATAGATGTAGTAGGATGGGGTTAGCATATGCAAGGGTTAGTTTTTGTTTGGTTCCACCATCTCCAAAGACAAGTACAAACACTGGCTGACCTTGTGACATCCATATGGTGTTTGCTCAGCACTGTAGCTGCTGTTCTACATTTCGTTGCCTCCATGCTCAAAGTTGTCAATATGATGACTATACTGTGTTTGTGAATGCATCTACACTACCCGCAGCCCTTCAAACTTGGCCCCGAAACACGTTGTCTGTTGCTGTTGCCGTGGCTTGTCTACTCCCTTGTATGATGATTCATGCTGGTGGCAGGTGTGAACATCGCCCTGAATCGGCCCACCGTCGCCTCCTCGACTGAGGGCGGCAATCCCAATCTCAGCTCGAATCGGGCCGTGGCTGGGATCACAAGTCGAAGTATTGAGAGTTCAAAGAGCTGAGGCTACAAGCAGTCGTCGCTCAGTAAGCTCTCCTTTTTGTTTGGCTTCTTCTTGATACATGACTCGAGGTGGACGGATCGTCAGAGACGCGGTGGGGCTCCGCCTTCTCAGACGGTGAATGGCTAGCGATCGACCTCGGGGTAGTTTCCTGGGCTTGAAAAGGCAGCAGCCACAGCAGTAGCCGTGGTTTGGATGGTGGTGGCTCTAGAAGAAGTAGCAATTAGTCGTCGTCGCTGTGATGACGGTAGAAGTCGGAGGAGTAGTAGTGCGGTAATCGTCATAGTCGTCATCGTAGTCGTCGTCGTCGTGGTCGTCGTCGTAGTCGTCGCCGTAGTCGTCGCCGCAGTCGTGTAGTCGTCGTAGTCGTAGTCGTAGTCGTAGTCGTAGTCGTAGTAGTATGTTGAAGCCTGAGTCTGCCCTCACCTCCCGAGTAGTTTCCGTCGTTTGAAGTGACTTGTCGTAGCCCTTGTGGTTCTTCAAGTGAGAGAGTGCAAGGCCCCTATGCTAGAAGACTTTAGAGTCGTGAACTTGGCCAAAGGCCGAACAGCCATCACAGGCATAGAAGGGCGTAGCCTCTCAACATACTTTCAGAGCTTTGTCGAGTGAAGTGAGAAAACATTCCGTTCGAGCGCCATGGTCAGTTTCAGTTGTCTGGATTCCTCTTCTGGGATCATCCGATAAATTTGGAACGAAGCTTGAGCTGAGATGGACGGTGCAAATCCCAACATGCACGATCTTCCAGATCATCAGGTTATGAGCGCCCAAGGTTACGGGACGCTGCCGAGCTCTGCATTGGTCAATGGGACAACGCCTCTTCAGCAGCTGGATCTAGATGGAGAAATTAGGCAGCCGCAACACTCTGCTACAATGGAGAACCCTGCTTTGGTAGCAGGGCAAGCCCCAGCTGGCAGTGTCGCGGGAGGAGTAAAGGCTCCTACGCCTCCACCTCCTCCATCTGGTCAGGTGATGGGATATGGTTCTACTGGAGCTTCGGAAGCTTCAATGGGCCAGAGCACCCAAGCTGGAGGGCAAGGTGGCACATCGAGCGCCTTGGCGGCGTCCGCTGTACCACCTCCCATGATGAGAACTGATGTAGTTGGAGCGGCTTCTTCCGCGAGCCCGCCCGTGGATGGACTTCAAGATCAACGAGTTCATGAAGCTCAGACTCTGACAACACAGGTTCTTCAACAGAACGAGGCGCAGCCGCAGCTAGGAGCTCAACTGCACTTGGAAGGAGGACCAAAAGCACCTTCTATGATGGTTACGGTTGGGGGTCAGGGCTTCTTTGCTCAAGGAGTTCAGTGGATGCTACAGAAAATTGCGGATGTAGGAGGACAAGAAGTTTTGGTGACTCAGCCCTCTTCACAGACCGCTCAAACTGAGTACCAGACTCCGGTGACACCGAAGTCGCTTTTCTCTCCTGAGCAGATGCGTAGATTTGCCCAGCTCGAAGAGCAGGCGCCTCAACTGTATCAACATGTAGCTGGTCCGGTAGGACAAGTAGCTTCCCCGCCTTCCTCCGCGTCTCTAAGTATGGAAGTCATTCAGGCTGAGGTTCGTAGGCAGGTTGAGAGGGAGCTTGAGGTTAGGAATCGAAGGCTTAGAGAATTGGAGGAAGAAAACCGTAGACTTAGAGAGGAAAATGTAGGTAGTGTAGCCCCTGCAGCTCCTCCGAAGGTCAACGCGAATGGATTAGGTGGGTTCTTAGGTGGTTGGCTCCCGGGCTCACGCGGCTTCTGGCCAAATGCCTCAAGGAGCTCTCCAGCTCCACCACCTCCTCCACCACCTCATTCTCAATCGCCGGCTTTACCTCCTCCTTTGCCTCCGCATCCGAATCTTCGAAATCCGGGCTATGGGTCCGTGGCAGATGGTCTGCCGCTTTCCAATGCCAGCCCCCCTAGCGGTTACCCTAGTGGTTTAGTCCTGGGTGCCCCTAGCGTGTGGCAATCTATGCCAGCTGCGCCGCCGTCGCACTACCCCAACCCTAGTGGTTACCCTAGCGGTTTAGTCCCTTTGGGTGTCCCTAGTGCTCCGGTGCCTCTGGCGTCAGAGCAGCCTGTGGCAAACCCCAACCCTAGTGGTTACCCTAGCGGTTTAGTCCCTTTGGGTGTCCCTAGTGCTCCTGTGCCTCTGGTTGCAGAGCAGCCTGCGGCAAACCCCAACCCTAGCGGTTGCCCTAGTGGTTTAGTCCTTTCGGGTATCCCTAATGCTTCCGCGCCTCGAGTGCAGGAGCAGCCGGCATCAAACCCAAACCCCTACGGGTACCCTAGTGGTTTAGGCCCCAGTGACCCCAGTGGTTGGCAAGCGTATGCCGCGCAGCAGGGTGCCGGAGACTCTGACCAAAGCGGACGGGCGACTTGTCCAGCTGCTCCCATTGCGCCGAGCCCAGCAACCTTGCCAATCGAGCGGTCAGGTGAAAGGGCAACCGGAGGTGACAGCTTGGGAAGTAATTCTTTAGAGTTGCTGATTGCTGGCATGCGCCAATTGCAAGAGGTTTCTATGAGATCGTCTGAAAGTCCGAAAAGTGAAAACGTAAAGCCAGGCATAACCAGTTTGCCTACCCTTGTTGAGCCAGGCCCTGAGGCCCCGGTTGACTTCCAGGATTGGGTATACACGATTAGCCCAGCGATGCAAGACATATCGGATAACAGTACTGAATGGTGGGAGAACATTCTCTTATCAGCAGAAAGCTACTACTCTGAATTCCTTAAGCTTGATCCTGTAGCGCGTTTGAGCCACAAGCCTCAACCGAACGAGGTGTTGAAGCAGCAAAGGTGGAAGCGGGTAGAGAAGCGAGCAGAAACATTGGTGTTGGCTGCACTTCCTAAAACCGTTAGAGAAGAATGCGTAGCAGGAAGATTGACAGGGATTCTTGCGATATGGTGTCGTGTCATGGTGATTTATCAACCGGGTTCGTTGCTTGAAAGAGCAACTGCCTTGAAATGCCTTGAATCACCGAGTGAAGCCGCCGATGCAGCTTCAGCGGCAAAGGCCCTCCGAAAGTGGCACAGATGGCTGCTCAGGGTTAGGAGTGTAGGCGGAACGCCGCCTGACCCGATTATCCTGATAAGAGCCTTAACCCTAGTGTGCAAGAAGCCTCTTGAGGTGCACGCGGAAGCCGCTTTTCGGATTCAGCTTGCGCGGTCAACGCTTCGAGTAGACATAAATCCGTCTTCAGCAAAGGTAGATGAACTTTATGGTTTGCTGTTAGCAGAAATGGAAAACTTGTCGCATAGTGGTGCCGTGCCAAAGGGCCCCAAGACTGCCACGATGGCCCAGACCAACGCAAATGCAACCACTGCTCCTGTGCCTCCTCCACCAAAGCCAAATCAGCAACCTCAAGCTAAGGCGAAGAGTGCAACTCCGTGTCGCAACTTCCTAACTGATGCTGGATGCTCTCGAGGGGCTAAGTGTGGGTTTGCGCATGACACTTCGTCATTGACTCGGGCGCAGCGGGGACAGCGTTGCTTCAATTGCGGTTCAACTGGTCATCGCGTCCAAGAGTGCAAAGCACCTAAGCCTGACAGTCCTACAGGGTCTAAGGGTGATGCTAAGGGAGGGGGCAAAGGAGGGAAAGGAGGTAATCAGGAGAGCCCGAAGGCGAAGTCGTCGTCAGGTGAGGGCGTTGAGGGCGCAAAGCCTCCACCCCCAGCTCCCAAGGTAAGTGATGCCTTGCAATCCTCAGCCGCCTCTTCCTCCGTTGCGACACCTTCTCCTCCTGGTCAGTCTTCGTCAGCAGACTCCTCCAAGCTCAAAGCCATGATTGCTGAGGCTCATCAAATGCTGCAGGACCTTAAGTCAACCTCCCGAGGGAGCGAAAGCAGTGTTGATTTGCCCAAGATGGCAATGATGTGGGCTGATCTTCCAGATATCCCTCAGCTTCCCCAGTTGACGTTTGCGCAAGAAAAGGATGCTCTCTTGGACTCAGGCGCATCGCACGCGCTAAGGCCTCCGAAGAATCAGGAGGAAGCAGCAAGTGCCGAGCCCATCGAGGTGATTCTTGCAGGGGATGGAAGGAAAAGCCTTAGACAAAATGCAGGAGGGACATTGCTAAGTGACACCCCAGGAGCACAAACCATCTTACCGTTAGGAGCCCTTGTAAGGGAATTGGGTTGCTCTATTAAGTGGACTCGCAAAGGCCTCACACTGAGACATCCGACATACGGTGTTCTTCGGACACAGATCCGAGGAGGATGTCCCCAGTTGGCTGAGACAGAAGCGTTAAGACTTATTGGCGATCTAGAAAGCAAACGCTTGGAGCGCTTTGAAGGTCAGCTGTGTGAACTGCAGGCCAAAATCGAAGCGGCTGAAGCGACATCTTGGGAAGAACCACTTTGCAGGTACCTCACTCAAGGGGATCGTAAAGAGTTGATGGTCGCGGTTCAGCGCCTAGAGATTCATGATGATCATGCCACGCAGGCAATGTTCTCGCAAGTGCGAGACCTGAGCAAAGGCAAGGAGTGGGAATACTTGAAGGAGCTTGGTTTCCCTCGGAGCAAGCGCAGACGTCTGATGAAGTCCGGTAGGTGGATGGTTCACCATGATGATAATGGGGGTGTCTTCAACGCCTTAGGGGAGTTAGGGGAATCCTTCAAGATTTCATCCCGGACCTTAAATGAATATCAGGCATCCGCTGTCTCAGGTCTGCTCCTGTGGGCAGCATCGCAAGGAAAATTGGGATGTGTCACGTTGCATGCTACCACTCAGGAGGATATGGCGCTTTGTGTGCTGTTGTGGATCCTGAACTCCTTTGCCACGGGCACAAGCATGCCCATGTCTATAACCGTGGACCCGGAGCTTGGTAGCCAGTGGCAATCCTTGATCGTGGGCTTTGCATTCCGCGTGATAACCTTGGAAGGAAAGGTAGCTGTTTCGACGATTCCGCTGCCTGAGTTGGAATTCACGCAATCCAGGGCAGGGTTTGCAAGAGAGGTTCTAAGATCCTTAAGACGGGTGTATGGGAAATCAGAACCCGGGCCGAGCACTACACATTGGACCGAGCAGCTTGACCGTGAGCTGGCTCACAACAGGCTTTCTCAGCCGTCATCTCAAATCAACGGGAGAGATGATAGTGGAGGGAGTTGTTCAGATCCGTGTGCTTCACTTGTTGGTGCCCGTAAGGCCAGGTTTCCGACGCGTCGTA